AGTTAAAATGATTATTATTTTTTAACATTGTCTTGCACAACAATAGCTACACCAAAAATAATAATGAATATTTTAAAAAGAAAACTATTTCAGTTTAACAAGTTAAAATGTTTATTCATTATTTCTAAAATAAGTTAAGTTATAGTAGAAATAATTACATCTTTGTACATTTGATTTCTGAAAATTTAAATATCATCCATTTTATACATAAGAGTATATAAGGTGTTTAGAAGTAAATGAACTTGAACATTTTAAAACAAATTATTAGTTTCAGTAGTATTAAAATAAAATTGCAATTCAACTAAGAAATTAGAACTTCTTTACAAGAAAATTTTGATTAGAAAAACTCGTTATAAATATTGTATAAACTTAATGATTCAAATCATATGAAAGCTGACTATAAATCAAAATTAGATTTTGGGGTATATAATTAAGAAAAAACTATGAAAAAAACGTGACCAGGATAACATTATGTAAAATAAAAATAAATATAATACATTAAACATTATTTAACTGTAAACTTTTATACAAACTTTTGTATGGCGTTAAGTTAATTATTATTAATGATTGAGATTTTATGATGAGTATCTTATTATACATTGTATAATAGAATAATAAAAAATGCTTTTCCAGGAAAATTACTTGGCTCCGTTTTGAAAAATTTTTTTACTAGCATTTTACGACTTAAGATTTGAAATGTGACCAGACCTTCCAAAGACATTTCTGAGATATAATAAAAATTAATTCTATCCGCTCATTTTTTTACCTTTCTACAAGCCTTTTTTTTAAGTTCATGTTTTTAATAAGGGTATCGTTTCATTTTTGGGCATATACAGGGTAATTTTTTTATCATAACCCACTCAATTACTTGCAGAATAATAATAATTTAAACATTTTTTTTTATTATTATCTTTAGTTACACATTATTCTTGAATTTTTAACTATGTAATACTTTTTAAGTTCATCCCTTATGCCTTGGAGGGGGGTAAACTTTGTTTTTTTAAATGGTAACACACATATTTTTAATTTAATAAAATGTTTGAGTTTTTAATTTAATAGTAAATGGCATTTGAATTTTTAATATAACTTAATTCGTTTATTAGATATAATCATTTAAAGTTTCAAAATGTTGAGTTAATATACAAGTATAATACACATGGGATTGTAAATACAGGTAGCTAATTGGATTTTTATAACATCGATATTAGCAGGTACACAGCATTGTTATTATCAATTGTAGTAAGACACATTGTTATGAGTATATAAATNGATTATCAATAGATATATTATGTGTATTGTCAGTTAGTGTATTTATATACTCATAACAATGTGTCTTACTACAATTGATAATAACAATGCTGTGTACCTGCTAATATCGATGTTATAAAAATCCAATTAGCTACCTGTATTTACAATCCCATGTGTATTATACTTGTATATTAACTCAACATTTTGAAACTTTAAATGATTATATCTAATAAACGAATTAAGTTATATTAAAAATTCAAATGCCATTTACTATTAAATTAAAAACTCAAACATTTTATTAAATTAAAAATATGTGTGTTACCATTTAAAAAAACAAAGTTTACCCCCCTCCAATGCATAAGGGATGAACTTAAAAAGTATTACATAGTTAAAAATTCAAGAATAATGTGTAACTAAAGATAATGAAAAAAAAAAATGTTTAAATTATTATTATTCTGCAAGTAATTGAGTGGGTTATGATAAAAAAATCATCCTGTATACATTTTTTGACTCTAAATTTGTACATAATAACTTTTTATGTCAATTTTTCTCTTAATTTCATATATAATATATGTTATTGTTGTCATATATGAATTAATTTAGTTATTAACTATGATTTTGTTTTGATATTAAGTTAGTTATTTTTATATTTTATGTTTGGTTTATTGAGTATACAGATACTTTCTGTCAATTTCTTTTAGATATTTTAATAATACAAAATTTGTTGATATATTTAATCAATTTCATTGTTATATATATATATCTTTTGTTTGATCTGTAGTTTTATAATTAAATTACTGTTTAAATGTACTATTTCTTGAACTTTTTTTGTCCAAGCAAAGTTTTTATTAGTATATGATTTTTCATTTGCGCATAGCAATATATTTGTATATTTTATCAAGGAATGTTTAATAAGTTATACATCAATTTCTGCATGGTTTTAAGTAGTCGTATTAATAATCTTATTTATCTCATATATGATGTACAAGTCTATGAGTTTAATGTAAAAATTAGGATCTATCTATGAAAAGTATGCTATACATCATCAAATCACAGTAAACAATAATCTTATCATAATTGACTTTTTTATATGGTCCCAGGAATAATATCCTGCCGAATTTTTCTGTAATTATTCTATAATATTAATACAATTATTATAATTAGAATATTATAAATTATTTTGTATACAAGGGGCGTATTTAAATGAGATATGGGTGATTCTCCCCTTAAACCAGCACTATCAATATTTTTTTAGAATGACTTTTTGTTCATCACTATGATTTTAGCAAAAAAATTCCTATAGCATGTTTATAAAAATAAAAACAATTAAATACGCCTCAAGTAAACACCTCAGTAAAGAAACGTCAACCTTATACCATTACATTTTACTATTTTCCCTCTTTGAATTTTCCTAATTTCATTAATTAAATTTTTGTTACATGATTCTGATGTAATAATTTTCCTGTAAAATACTTATTGTACCCGGCGTAGCCCGGTACTCCTTCCGGAATCAGTCGCTTACTTATGAGAACGGCCCAAAGAGGTTTCGCGCCGAAGGCTCGTGAGGCTGGTAGGGCTCCAGATGTAGAGTGGAGCCCCAGCTAGCCTAATAATATTATAATAATATAGTTTTAAAAAGTTTATTTTGTTAAAATAAATGCATAATTATCAAAAATTCCATGTAAAACATCTACAACATAGCCAGGATGCAAGAGGACATGCTATCTCTGGACTGCAATATTAATTTTTAAATATGAAGTTATAAGCAAAACAAAAAGTGATTATAAATATTGAATATTTTATAGATTATTTTTAACTATGGACCCCATTATAAAATTTTGGCTCCAGAATTTTATAGCGTTGAATTATAATACCAGTTGTTCTGTTTTTGAATTGGTGCTTTGAGAATAGAGAATTGACGCATTAAAATGAATAAAAAAATACGTTTATGATCATAATTTATGTACACAATAAATTTAAATATTCTATTACCTAAAAATAGTAACATTCCTTATTGTATACGATAATCGAATCATTTTTGAAGTATTCACCTATAATATAAAATTTAATGGTATCTAAGTAAAACTTATTTACTTAAATAAGTAAATTATAATGAACATATACATATAAATTTTTTATCAAGCTTCACCAAATTAATCATCTAACTAATTTATATAAATTCGTAGAGTGATGTTACATTCTTTATGTTATATTTTTCCTAGCAGAAAAATAATATTTGTTTGTAATTTTAATGATGAGTTTTCTTCATTTTTTGTATAAAACATTAAAAATAATAATAAATTTTAAAAATTATTCAGGTAATTATGCTCAAAAAAATTTTAAACACTTACATAACTCTTGTATATTTATAACTCTTATTTTTTAAGTCTTATTCGGCAAAAAAGCTTCTTAAAAGTATTTAACCTAGATAAGTTTTCAAGTCAATTATCCTAGGACTTTAAAGTATACTTAATGGTAAAAAAAGGTATATTTATAGTGTATGTGTATTAAATAACGGTAATTATCTGATAATAGTTTTTAGTTTTTATTTTTATTTTTTTTTTAATTATTATTTCAAAAGTATAGATAACAAATATAGAATGTCAACTATTTAATTTGGGTTAAATTTGAAAATTTAATTTTACTTATATATAAAAAGCAATAAAAAGAAATATTGTTTCACAAAAATTCTAGATATTTTCATTTGCGCCAGTACCCTATGTCATACTGTAATCCATGTAATCCAAAATATTTTCATGATAGCGATGACCTATTCTAAAGGATACAAGGTAGGTTTATTTTATTATCCAAATTAAGCAGATTTAAAAAACTTATACTTGAGGTAAATAATTAGAGACAATAAATTAAATGGAAGTTAAATATTAAGAAAATTTCCCAATTCGTTATATTTTACTACCACCATTTTAATACCTTTTGCTATTCTACATAATTATTCAACACATGAACGAGCACGCAGAATTTAAACTTCTATGGATTGCTATTAACGGTAAAAAATAGTTGATGTACAATTTATTACAAAAAAAGTTAATCTTGATATTTTACTTTCATCTATCAACTTTTATATATAATTCTTATAAGTTCAAGTTATATTAAAAGTTAATACATCGTTAGAATAATATATTCACTACAGTAATAAAAAATTATTCCAAATTCATAGAACAAAGTGGTAAATCCCATTACTGGCTGTGCTATAAATAAAACAAATGAAATAGCACCATTATTAGTTAAACGATTGTGATCTACATAATATTTAGCAAGGTTTTATTACCGCGTTAGTAATATTATAATCATAATAAGTACCTATTTAAAAAATATTTCTTTATTTAAGCTAATATTTTTTTATTTTTCAAAAAATTTATTTTACTGAACTAATTTAAAAATTAAATGGATAATTGCTTCATGGATCATTAGCTAATGTGTTTTACAATAAAGTTATATATATATTTATATATATAAGAATGTTTTAGTTGGGTAAAGGGTTTGAAATTTTAACATCTAATTTATGCAAAAAAAGTCTTCAATTAAAGTATTCTGGTAAAGAGCGAATTTTCTATTTTATTATTCAGTATATTAAATTAAAAGGAACTACAATTTAACCTTAAAATTACCTAGAATATCATTTTTAAAGAAAAAATCTGAATGAGAAAACTGATCCAGAAGAGTCAACACTAAAAATTTTAAAACAATACAAAAATAAATTATAATGACCAAAAAATTCAAACTGTACTTACATTGAATAAATTAATTTTAGATTCAAAAAATGACCGTATCGTCTGATTTTTACCACTACACCGTAAGAGTCGCTCGCACTAACCCTAACAACTTAATATAATTTAAAAAACAAACCCAAACATTTAAAAAAAATATCAATCACACGATAAAAAAAGAAAATTAAACAACTACTTATGCATAACTTTGTTAAAAAACCAAACAAAAATAAAACAACGGCGAAATCGTAAGTGGAAATTGCAATCGCCGTCCCGGCCGGTGAAACTATCCCGAGCGCGCTACACTACACACTGACTGTTCGAGCACGACGTAACGCGCCGTCGGACAACTAAATGCACACGCTGCTATCCTACAGGCTCCGACCTAAGCCAAAAAAATAATTATTACCTACACTGCCTTTCTTTAACGCATCCTCAGTAAACCGCCCTTTTGAATCTAAACCCCATCCCAAAATAGTTTACCGCAGTGATTTCGCTTTTTTTTTAAACACCAAATATTCGATAAATTCAACATGGCTGATAATCTCGTGTACTATCCTAACAACCTATTTTGTTGTTTACACTGTAAATACTTAGAGATAGTTATAGTAATTCAACGGCCAACTAAAATTTTATTTCGAATTTTCCTTCCGAACAGTGTTGTGGTTTAGATTTTTATTTTTTTCTCATTAATTGGATGAGACAAAATTACAATAAAATCAAACTAACACGTAAATTTATATATAAATCTAATAAAAAAAATCTCCCGGTATAATCATCAAATGCATTATTAATATAATACGTCCAATAAATTTTTTACTAAATAAATTAATACTTTTTGTTGATTTAATCACTTTTTTATTAGAAGAATAAAAAATTGATCATACTAACAAATCTTTTGTAACAAAAAAAAATGGTTCAATTGATAAAAAAAAAAATTTAACACAATTATCATTTGACGTATATTCATAAAAATATTATTAATTATACACTAAGGATATTATTCAATGTAGAAAATGAGAACATTTTACAAAACTAAGTAAATACCTACATTCAAAAAAATCAAACTATACTCTGAATTATTTAAAACTAAATAAAATAAACTTTATTAAATTTATTTATTTATTTATTTTAATAAAATAAAATATTTTTATTCAACGATTAAAAAAAAAAACTTTTAACCAAACTGCATTTATTTTAAATCCTCATAAAAAATGTCAAATAGTTAATTACATATCTTGCTCATAATCTTTATATTTGTATTTTAATGTGTTCCAAAAATACGATTTTAAATTAACTTTAAAATCAAATTTCATTTATTCTGATAATTTTTTTTTATGATCTGCTTTCAGAAAACATTCAAAAGATCTACTACAGAGAAAGTGAGTTTTAGTCAATCATCAGTTACATTTTTAAATTTTTATTAAATATTTTAATACAAATTAATTTTTTAATTCATCCAAAAGTAATACTTGTCTTTTAAAATGTATTTAAATCATTTTTGATGGGTAGTTTTACTTTTTAATGTTAAAAATATTTTATTCTTCGATAAAATTCAATTTTTATTTCCATTGTAAAATAAAAGTAGCATAAATTATATAGTTCAATGTCATTAAATTATAGTGAACTGAATCGTAAAATATCTGATATTTCATTGTAGACTTATTTTAGTTTAGAACAACATTAAAGATATAAAGTTATTTTTATTTTCATAAATAAAAATTAATCTGAGGTCTAATAAAAAGTAACAAAAATGTATATTAATCACAGTGTACATTTTGTTTTTCTGTTGAATATTCATTAATTATTTATATTTCTTCTTTGAATGTAATGTTTTGTAAAATATTCAAAAAACTAAACTCAAATTATGGAAAATAAGAGAATGATACGTCAATCACATATTTATATAAGAAAAGTTTATATTATCAGGAATAACATATAATTTGTTTAGGTGCAATTCTCTTAAGATGTATTGAGAATAGTTATCTCATAAGTACTTTACTGTTTTAATTGTATGTTCTAACAGTAGATTGTTTGTTTAGTTCATCAAATATATGTATATCTTATTTGGTAAAATGTAACTATGACTTTTTATGACTTTTATTGTTTGTAACATTAAACGAGAAATTATGTGGGTTCTTAATTTGTTATTTTCACAGTAATGACCCAATTATTAATCATGTCTAGTTTATGTTTTCATACAATTGTATTTCCATAATAATGTTGGTACATCATAGTGAAACTATGAGTTCCCTTATTGTAGGGGTCTTACCTTTATAAAATTTTAACTAGACGTATCAAACAAATCATCAAATTATTCAATACTGGATATTTGAAATAATTTTTCTTTTTATTTAAAGAGCAGTTTAAAGAAAATTTTAGTTAAAGTACACTCATAATTTATTTAATATAGGATTTATACTTTACCTGCTATAATAATTAGAAAATTAGTAATAATATTTTTATAAACAATTATTCCACAAGCTTGTAAATAGAGAAATAATCGGTGATTATAAAAAAATATAAAAAATAAAACAAATCATAATTAATTCATCACTATTCTTTTATCAAAAAATTAAGAAATGAGATGCCATCAAATTCTTTGTCATTAGAATAAATAAAACAATAACGTCATAAACAACCAATTAAAACTTAATGTAATAACAAACAACAGTCACTAAATTTGTACACTATAAATATTCAGCTTTTTAAACATGAGACAACATTAGAGTTTATTGTGAATTGATTTATTATTAATTAATTTATATAAAAAAGCTAATTAAAATATACAAGTACATGTATACTAAAAAATTTTTAAAATAAAGATAAAAATGGAAAGTGTTAATTAATTAACACTTATAAGCTTGAAATATAATTAAAATTATCCTGTTTTTGCAATTCATAAAAGAAAAATTTGTTTAACTTTTTCTGAAATTAAAATCAAATGTATTATAACGAATCAAATTACAGCCAGCAATTAAAATAGTGAATATTAATACTTTCGATCAATCTTAACCCACGCGTAACCTTGACTACAATGATAGAACTGAGGTTAACTGTCATAGGAATTCCTTTGCTTCATTTGTATTCGTACAAAAGCCATGGAAGGTGCTATAGAAGAAACTAAAGCCTACTGTACACAGGCACGAATAATAAACTACAGAATTCTCTTAACATATTTTTATAATTTATGTTACTACTGTTTTAGGCCTTTAAATTCACTTCAGAGCTACAACTCACAGATACATTAACTTGTTTATGGTCTGGTATTCAATCACTTTTAGAGAAATCAGTAAAACATATAGATGAAAAACATTTTACTTCCCAAATGGATAACTATCGAAAAATCATGACAGATATAAAACAATCGATTATATCAGAACAAAATTTAATAGATCAATTAGAAGAAGTATAATACTCATCTTAAATAGATATTTTTCGTAAATTAAATTTTAATTATGTTTCTAGAAGGTGAAATCCGCCAATCATATGATAGATTCATTAAACCTCCGAGAGCAAATAATTCAAGAATCCAATGATAATCTTTTGGCACAAATAAAAACATTAAAAAATGAACTTAATGCAAAAACCAAACAAATCGAAGAAGAAGGACTGTGAGTGAAATAGCATATTTTATGTTACCTCATTTATATTTATTACTTAAAATCGTAGATTTTCGTCGATGAGCCAAGGAGATACGTGCCAATTGGAACTAATGAGAACAAAGCGGGAATTAACAAAATTTGATGATGAAAATAAACGTTTAGATGATCTTTGTCAACATTTAAAGTCAGAATTAGATACTGCTGAATATAATATCAGAGAACTCGAAGCTGATATTACAGTTAGTATAATACAAAATTAATGAATATATTTTATTATTTTCATAATAAATAATAATAATTTAAAGGCTAAAAGTAATCAACTAGTTAAAGAAACGAAACTAAAAGAAAAGCTCGAAGAACAATTGCACACTAATAATGAAGAAATGGAAAAAATTAAATCGGAGCTGAATAGTACAAAAAACAACTTAAAGAAAACCGAAATTGATTTAGAAAAAAATAATGATACATTAAAACAACTCAAAGTAATTTTCTGATTTTTCTAATTATTATAGAAAAGAGCAAAACTAGAAGAAAGTTCTTATAATTGGCGAGTCAACGTCGACTGATGTTTGCTGTCTCCCACGATATGGGAGCCTCCTCGTCTCCATGGAAAGAATCCCTTAGGCTATTGCCATTCTTTTCATCTCTTAGAATTCTTATTTTTTCGGGTATAGTTTATGTAATAATGAATAGACCTGATCTACTACCTTTTTCCACTGGTTTTCCTAGGTATCGTCCCATTCAAAGTAACTACGAGATTCTCTTGCCGTTGGGACTTCTTTCTGAAAATAAATCAAAGTTGTTTTCTGATTCGAACTTTTTGATTTGTATATTTCATATAGGGGAAACTGACGCATGTTTTTACAGGAGAAAGTTGTTACAATTGAGCTATTTTAATTTTAAATTGTAACATAACATGCTACACATATGGATTCATAGATAAGTTGATGCTTCAAATATTTTGTGAATATATTAAACATACTTTACCAATGTTGACATTTATTTAAGTTTCGATGCGGAGCTAAGTAAGTATTGATTTTACCATGATGTGCATTATTTCATGTCTATCCATAAAAAAATTCAGCTCTCATTGCATCGATTTTAATGATTTAACGTAAAAAAAAAACATTATTAATCATGTTGAAAGTCTTATGATCAAAATACGAAAAACTTCTCTCAATTTTAGAAATTTAGACAAATTCTCAAAGCTATAATATTGTAAAAAATAGCATTTCCACATTTTTTTCTGCATTTAAACTTTTTTTTTAAATTGATACGAATGAAATTTAAATAGAAAACACTAAAGACAATAAGTTTTCCTATGGTATGTTTTTTAAGAAAATCCAATGAAAAAGTACAAAAAGGTTTTGAAAGAGTTCTCCAACGCGTTTTTTAAGATACTGATGTTAATCACTGTCAGGTATCCTTTATAGTTGTCTCAACTATTTATTCTTATGTGTTTGTATGTTGATAACAAAACTTAGTGGACATTTTGCTTTTTATTTTTCGACCACAGATATAAGGTGAGATATTTTTAATGATAAATATTTAATCGATATGTTTTACTATTTTATTTTCTATTTTAATATCATAAAAATAATTATGTTTTTAACTAAGGTTTGGGATTTAATGCATTTATAATAATTATTTGAACTACTTCGGAGACACTAAATTCCATGTGAATTTATCATAGGTATATAAAATGCCAAAGAATTTTATTATTCTAATGAGAATAATCTCTAGTGATAACGTTGTTACGAAAAATGTTATGAAAAAAAGTTGCTTTTTCGACAAATTTAATAAACCTAGTAAACTCTACCTTGGAGAAATTGTTACATCTTGACTAGCTATAATAAATTTTTTTTGTACTAAATATTTGAGTTATTGAATAATTAATACTGTTGTTTAAACTTTTAATTTATAGACTAAAATTAATTTATAAAAATAAACAAACTGTCACAACTAAATCAACTTTCTTCTAGATATATATTATATATATTATTATAGAATATTAATTAATATAATAACTTTAAGATTCAAAATAATCAATTGAATGCAAAAAATATCTCATATGATAAAAAAATAAAGAAATTCAATAAAGAACTGAAAATTAAAACTGAACTTAGAGTTATCAATGGTAAAGATATATGTCATCTTAAAGATAAAATAACTGTGAGTACAAAATAATAATACATTAATACTTATAGGCGAAATTACGACCCGAATCTATTAGACCATTTTTTCTGACATAATATTTGGGACTTTTTCGAAGAATAAGCACAAAATCCGGCAGAGTACCATAGAAATAATTTAACAAAATTATACAAACAAATTGTAATAATTTTACAAGAGCTAAAATATTAGTACAAATATTTATTATTAGGAACCAGTAGTAAATGATTACACTCAATCATTTTAAATGACGACTACTAGTTATATTTATTATAACTATTTGATTCTCAAACCCAGAATTTTAAATCTAATCAATTTTTTTTCTTTATAAAGCGTTTTGAAAATAAAGCTAGTACAATTAAACAGTGTGTGAAATTTTTTAAAGAATGATAAAAAAAATTTTCCATTGATAAAATGATAAAATTAATAATCGGTTTAAATTCATTGAATTTGTTCAGTTATATTCAGATTCAATTGAAAAATAAAAGTTTGATTCGGTATGGATTGGGTTCAATCTCAAAAATCATAGTTCGTAACACTAGTCACTAAAACGAAACTATTTTTGATTGCAAAAAAATTACTCATAATAATTTATATTATTATTACAGACAATTGTATAAGGTTTAAAAAGATGTTAAATGTAGTAATTCATATTATATATATTTCTATATACATCACTGTTATATATAGAATTTAGCGGATAATCGAATTGTAGACTTAGATTTCTTATACAATCAATAGGTTTGCTTATCAAATAAGAAAAAAAAGTTATAAGTACAATTAATTTTACAGTAGTCAGTTTTTTTGCTCTCCTATTAAATTAATGAAAATGATAAGTGGTGTTGCTTCCAAAGTGACAATTTTTTAAATCCTCGTAAAATTATACATTTGATAATGTTAAATTCATACTTGTAATCAGTGTTGAGAAAATCTTAACAATGTCTAGATTTTTCATCTAGATAAAAATAATATTTTATTTTATCATAGCTTTGAGAAATCTATAAATGGTTATCTAAACGTAATCTAAAATTAGTTTTTGTTGTATAGATAAAAAATACTCAAACCTATAACTATATTATTAATTCAAAACTTTAAAATATAAAAAACATTCAACGCAAAATACCTCAAAAAAATTACTTCAAAATAAGTGTAATTTAATTAATTGGCTCACTGAAAAATTCATTATTAAACTCGAGTAAACTGACAAAATGTGATAATATGACTTAGTGGTAACATCACTAGATGATAAAGTCATTAAGGATATATAAAGGGGTTTTCTCCGGTCGGGGTATCAGTATGTATTTAGCATTAATAATAGTAACATTGTTTCCGAAATACGTATCCGCCATTTTTTTAGTAATTTTTTTGAGTTAAATTTGTTTAATATAGTTTTAATTTTAAATAATATTAGCCTCAAATGATCAATTTTATTAAATATAAAAAATGTTTAGATATTTTATTAATCTAAGATTAGAGAGATAATCAACAATACTTATAATTTAATGATATTTTCCAAAAATTATTTGATTATATTTCGTTCACTTTTACATTACGCATTATGATGAAACTATAAACTACAGATGTGCTGTGAATATTTTATGGTACACTCATACCTGTATAATTTTAATTAATATTCCCGTCATTTTTAGATTGATGGATAAACAAAAATATATTATAGGCTTCTTTGTATAACAACTGATTTCGTACACTATAGATAATACTTAAGAAAATAATAATGATAATTTTGTATTTATTAGAATTTTGCTACTAGTAACTATTTAACAATTATGTCTCATTTCAATGTTACCCCATTTTACGATATAATTCTAGCTAATAAATATAGTTAGTGATTGATATGAAGCGTCTTTAACAATATCCTAGTGAACTAGTTTTTGCGTCATTCATTGGATGAGCGGTTAGCCGGCAGCATCCACCTAAGTGACTTTTCTCGTCAACTCCTCTGACGATCGTAAGAAAGCTTAAATCAAAATGGCAATCTAGTGCGGCGCATAACTAGGTGGTTTACGGTCTAACTGCCTCATATTAAACAGCTAGTGCATATAACTAGTGAGTGTAGCTAATGCGTATAAGAAGTGTATATAACTTGAGCATATGGTTAATGCGTATAGCTAATGTATTATGTTCATATAATACTCTTGAAGTCCCAAACTTACTAAAACACTCACAAAGTCAAAACTTACCATAAAAATTATTTATCAGTCTTTCGAAGAAAAAACATATTTCAAAAAAGCCGCATTAAAAACTTTTTAGACAACAGGTTTAAATAACTAATTATAAAAAAAAACTTTATTTTTTATAATTATTTGCAATACTTGTAAAAATAACTATAAACATTTACAAATTGAATAAAAATTAGAAAAATGACCATTATAGTTGCTTTAAGCTTACAATTAAATAATTATTGCTAACAATAAACTTATATTAAATATGATTTATATAAATAATTTAAATTAAAAATATGAATGTTTCAATAAAAAATTTATTATTCAATATAAATTGGAGTGTATTCTTAATCAATTACACAATAGATAAAACGTGGTAACATATTCTAATTGAAATTTAAAAAAAATAAAAGAATATTTTTGTAATTTTAAATAATATTAACTACAAGTGTTCAATTCTTATTATATAATAATTTCTATATAACTTAAATAAATAGTTTCTATTTTTTTAGAAGTAAAGACTAAATGTGCTTTTAGCTCATACTAAAAACTTTCACTATATTGTCGATAACATAATAGAAACTCATTTAGCACGAAGAAAAAATATCTTTAAAACGCTTTATTTTTAAGGAATTGATTACTTTTAATAACATACAAACTATATTGTTATGCAAACTCTACAACTAATTTAATTATTTTCCTTCAATATACTCCTCAGCTGGGTTTATAGGTCCTCATAATGTCACTAGATCATAACTAAAAATTTTATTCAATATTTCAAAACTACAAAAGTGCTATCCAAATTTTTTTTAGACTGGTCTAATGTTAAGATCTAGTTTCGTCTATGCCAATACTTGAATATTACGTATTGTTTATTTTTTAACCATAGAGCCAAGAAACACAATTACTTAAAGTTCAATCTGAATTGAATAGTCTTACTGCAACTCACGAAACTTCAGAAAGAAAGCGACAAGAATCTGTAAAAGAAGTTGAAAAATTTTTAAAATATAGAAAAATTCAGGAGAACAACGTCTTTAGTTTAGAAAAAAAAATAAGTCAATTGCAATGGGACAACAACAAAATAAATCATACATTAGAAGTTACCCAAAGAGACAAAAAATTATTAGAAAAAAGTATAGCTAAAATGAAAGGTATGTAAGATAAATTACATTTTATAACAAGATTTTTAATTTTATTTACTTCAATGAATACAGAACAAATGACAACATACTTGGAAAATTTGAATTTAAAAAATACAGCAATTAAAGCTTTGGAACTAGAAAATACCGAGTTAATTAAATCTATCGATCTTCTCAATCAAGATAAAGTAAATTTAGAAAAAAATAAAGAAAAGTAATTAAATTTAAAATGTACTCAAAGCGTATTTTTTTACATGAAACTGTTAAAAATCTTGAACATTAAAACAAATAATTTTTTTTTGTTTTTAACAAACAAAAATTATTAGAAATTATAACAAAATAATTTTGATAGAAATATTATATTTAATTATATTGAGTAAAAAAAAATTGTAATGAACAGATTAAATCAATACGTTGTCACATTAAAGAAAAAAAACCTTGAAGTGACCGCAATAATGAATTATAAGGAAATAGAAGTACAAGAGTTAAAAAAAGAAATAAACGTGCGTCAAGAAAAACTTAAAGAATTTGAGCATGACTTACTATCAATTAAAAACGAAAAAAATGTTTACCACAAGAATACTTTAGAAGCAAAGGTAACTTTAACTATCAATTGTACTGATTGTTTTAATATATTATCAGATGTACAGAACAATAATTTCAAACAATTATTTTTCAATAAGATTGTGTGGAAATTTTATGGTTTTAATGGAAAAATTGTACTTTACAATGCTTTTTAATGTAAATTTTTTATTCTCTAAAAAAACTCAATTTTTGTAAAGTTATCTTTATAGTATCTTCCTCACGTATAATTAGTAAATAATACACAAAAAATCTACATAACCATCAATATTTTTTATTTAAATAAAAATTATATTATCTTTTACCTTGGTTATATGACTTTAGAATTAGTTAATTAATCGTCATCTAAAATTGATTTTTGTTATCTAGATAAAAAATGTTTTGATAATTTATTAATCTATAAGATGTAGTACTTGGAATTTATTGATATTTTTTAAAAAATATAATTTACCACATTTCATACACTTTTTCATAACACATCATGATAAAACCACAAACCTCAAATGTCTTATGGTAATACATTGACACGAGTATAATTTTAATTAATATTTATGTCATTTTTACAGAAATCAATAAACAAAACTTATAATGTTCTTTCTTGTGTAATGAACGATTTTGTATAGAAATATACATTCCATTAAAGCTGGATTGTTGTGTCTATGATTATACATAAAACATCTATAAATAATAATACTTTTATGTAAACACTGAAAAATTACTTTATCGTTACATCAATACGATAAAAATAACGTTATCTAAATTAAAAATTTAAATACAATTGGGATCCAGTAAAATGGAGTTGAAGTTTTTTTTTATTTTTATTTATTATACCTGACAATAATTTAAATTACTGTTGTAAAACCACCGTTGCGTAATCAATAATAAGAGTTTCTTAATCCTGATAATTTATTTCTTTATAAAAATTTAAAACTCTCAATAGTTACAAAGACAATGAGTGTCTTACCAATCTGTATATTAAAATATATTAAATAATTAATTGCAAACAAATAATTTAGAACACTAACTAGAATTGTCTAGCTTAAAATATTTTATAAAGGTAATCTCATCAAAAAAATTATTACCCGAAAAATAGTGATACACACTCTAAACTCTATAATTATAAAAATAAAACATCAGATTTGTACATTAAACCAGAACAGTAATTATTTCTAAAAAGTATACAAGGGAGTTAACTAACAACCTAAGAAAAATAATTATTCTCTTACCCTAATGATTCTTATGCAAATGGTTACAAAAGCATAGAACTATTAAAGCTTAAATGACTATAAAAAAAATTGAAGTAATAAATTATACGTTACAACACTAGTCAGGTTTATATATTTTCTATATATTTAGATGCTAATTTTATTTCCGACCATAATTGTAAGTAGAATAAAACAGAAAGCTATTGACTTTCATTTTAGTAAACCATACTCTTTACCCAAATGATTAAACTTTATATAAAGGCTTGAAGTCTTAAATTAAAGTTCAGTTACTAATAAAAAAAAAAGCTCTACTTACTCCGTTATCTAATATCCAGACCACCTTGACTATCTTATATTTATTTGCTTACTAGTATTAATAAATTTGTTCATAAATTGTTTCACATAAACAGTTTTTGATACTAAATAATTGCAAAACGTAGTATAACAGAGTATTTCATAAAAATATTACACTAGACGTTCGAATAAAATTTTTTTAATAACACTTAAAAATTAAATGTACCTACAAATTAAATTGTAATAACAAATTTATTTTTAAAACTATTTAACTTTTAGTTATTTACTTACGAATAAATAAAATACATAATATATTTTAATAACTCATTTTTCATGTCATTTAAACATTTATATAATAAAATAGGTACCTAAACCTCTCAATGATGTTTTAATTTTTTTACATGTTTACATATGTTTTGTGTATTTTATTATTTTAATTCATAAGTGCATAATAAGATTTTTATTTTCAAAATATTAGTTTTATGACAAAATATAAAAATAAAAATATTTAAGTTAATTATTATTTGAGCTGAATAAAAAATAAAAACATTTGCTAGAAATATCCAACTATTGAAACTTTTCATAACAGCACGGATTCTTATCAACATAAAATTTAAAGGTTGTATCGAATAAAATTGTATGTTGAATACTAAATTTGTTAAGTTTAATATTTATACTTATGTAAAGTTTTTAGAGCCTAAATAGTTAAATACCTGATCATAATAACTAATAGCTCAGTACGTTCTAACAGAGTTTTTCAATAACTGAATGTGATATTTTGTTTGGAACAGTCTTTGTAAAACGCTTATGGATAACCACATATACGCTTAAATAATTATTAATAAATTATTATTTACACTAAACTTCAACGAATGTATTTTAGGATGACGTAGAAGAAATGAAAGAAAAATTTAAAATGGTTTCTCAACAGCTTGAACAACAAAAAGAATATGTGGCATACAAAGAAATGCAGTTAGCCAAAAATGATACCAGTAATCAAATATATATGTATAAATTTTAATTAATGGAATATAATTTTTAAATCAATTTTAGAATTGAAACAGACAGAAAAGGAATTACAAAAGTGTCAACAAGAGATTAATAAGTTTGAACTGAAGTTTGATAAAATGTCAGAATTATTAAAAAAAAAAAATGAAGATGCAAAATCTTTAAGTACAACTTTGAAAACACAACAAAAAAAATTGGAAAAACTTCAGAATCAAATTGAACAAGTAAGTATTATAATAATATTAAAATTATGAAACATATGATTAATATATATTTCACAATAAATAATTTTATCAAAAATCTCTATATAAAAAATCCGTATTGCTTTATTTAAAAGTCTACAAATTAATTACAGGTAAATTCAGATAAAAGTAACTTGATCAATCATATAAATATACGAAATGAAGAGCTTATAAAACAAAAAGATGCCAACGATGTACTTATAATTACTCTTGGCAAAGGAGAAGCAGAATATCAAAATAGAATTGAAGATATTAAGCTATTAAAATCGCATGTAAAGCGACTCAGGTAAGGTAAAAAGTTACAAGTAAGTGTTTATTTTAATGTTCTCGGCATATAATTATTTTTTAACAGAAATTCTGATTATTCATCTATGATAATTTTAGTAGTCAAAAACGACTGCTGATATCCCATTCATCAACTGTTCATGACCTCAGACGAAAGTTGTTAAAATACGAACAAAAATTAAACAAAGAACGTATGAAATGTCGCGCATTAGAAGAGACATTAATGAAACCAACTAATATCCATCCTTGGAGACTTTTAAAGGTTGTATGAAAAAAATATTTTGAAATTACATTAGTTAATATTATTTTAAAATAATTTAGAACACTAATCCATCGGCGTTTAAGATGACAGTTAAAATAAGAATACTCCAAAAGCGACTACTTGAACAATGCACCAGAATTTTTGACAAGGAGTTACAAGTAAAAGACATTCAATCGAAGTACGATAAATTAAAAAATGAATTTGTTAACCTTCCAAGTGTAGATATTTTCAAAGAAATGAATAACATTAAAAGAACATTAATAAAGAAGAATGAAAAAATAAAAGTAATGTTGATTTTAACGGTTCAGCCGTTTTTAATTAGTTTAATTAAATATTTATTTTAATTGTTACAACACTTTTTGTTTTTGTATAGAATCTATCAAGCGCGTTGACTGCCAGTGAACAGTTAATCATGGAAATCAAATTTGATTTAGAGAAAACAAAACAAGATCTTGACGAATTTAAAAATAAATATTACGAACTGGTAAGAAAAGAATAATATATAAATATATTGAATTTTCAACAAACCGCGTGCCCATATTGATAAAGGTGACAGTTACTAACGTACGCTGTCAATGGTAAGAAATTCGGTCACAGGCGACTTTGTTTACTAGGATCGTCAAGTGAAATGAAACTGTCATCCCTCAATGTCGTAACAGATTAACTACCTTGCTTCTAGAAGTTAATACATGTTAGAAAACATTCTCTTAAGAATAGCTTCTAATGAATTATTTAGGTCAAAAAATATATTATTACACTTTGTTTTACAAATTAATTTTTAATTTTAGAAAAAAATTCAGGAAAAATTTAAAGAAAAAGTTCAAAAAGTACAGGTTTCAGCGAAGTCTAATCCAGAAAGATCTTTAGTTAATTACAATCGATATTTGCACTTTTCAATATAATTTATTTTTTATTTATAATTAAGTGGTTTTTCATTAATTGTAATTTTTATTAAACACTAAATATTAAATGATTACATTTTAAAACAGAGCTCTTTTGTATAATTTATCAACAATTCACTTTTCATATTATCATTAGGACAAAGAAATATAAAATTAAAGAAATATATTTTTTTAGTCTTTACTATTCTTACAAATAATAATAACAATAAATGTGATTTTAATATCAATAGAAAAAATGTTTACATACAATATTTCTAGTAGTTATGACAAAAAACAGATATAAAAATATTCTAATAATAATATTTCTGTTTTAATAAACATCAGTGTAAAATTTGAATACACAAAGTAAGGTCAGATTTAACTTAAGCTATAAAGAATGTGCAAAAATTTGTTTTTTCTCTATTCTCTTAATTTTTAAGAATATTTACTACTCGTTCATTAAACCCCTCGATTTATCCAAAAATGATATGCTCTGTACAACAATCATATAACTTTTACCCTCTTGTTAGTTCTAGTATTGCATTAATGATGTATGCCACTCTTTAAATTTTATGTCATTAGATGACTTTTTTTTATTTAAGAAACAAATTTTTTTAATTGGCCATTAATCTATAGCCTTGATATTAGTATAACCCGCATTTTTTACCTACCTATTTTTATTTATCATATGCTAAATAATTATCTACTATTTACATTTAAAATTTTTTAAAAGATCCTTAAATAATGGAACCATTTATTTAAATCGTCGATAGTAAAATTTCTATATTATTATTAACCCAACCAATTGCTTAAAATTACACAAGTAAAAAAAACTGAACAATTTTATTAAATATAACATTTAAAAAATAAATTAGATTATGCACATTAACGTGTCTAATAGCTTCACAAATTTTAATTTTTTTTAACTTAAAATATATAAACTTCAGTAATTTAATTATTTAAAAATAATTAAGCTATATGTTATTTTATTGTATATATATGTTATTGTATTTAATGTCATCTAGAAGTTTTGTTTAAGTGGATCTTAATTACTATAGTCAGAGGGATCCATTACGAGTTTCGATAAACCATACATGGTTTATCGAAAATCAATATACGATTTTATTATCTTTTCTATTATTTTATGCAATAAAATTGACGATTACGATTAACAAAATTAGATATTAAAAATTTGTAATGCTTTTGTATAATTAAATCATTGTATTTTACATAATAATGCTATTTAAAAAAATAAATAAATAAATCATTGTATCAATATTTTATGATTCTTTTAATGCTAGCCACTCGATTTTTCTTTAAATAATAATTATGCTTAGAAAATTATTTTTGGTATTTTTTATAATCTGAACCGCTCAAAATTATAACATCGGTAAAAACACATTATTAAGTTTTCAAGTTATTTAATGAACATTTGTACTGGCTGATAGTGAGTTTGGATTAACCGAATCCCAGTAGTGTAACTTGAAAAAATTAAAAGCAGTATTGCTTTTTTTGTTCGCCAATAATTTTTCACTCTGAAACGCTATTTAAGAAATCTCGAATGGCCACCAAAATAAAAGTTACTACGTCTAAAAATTCAAACATAATTTCAGAGAATACACCCTCATCCTCTCATACTAGTTGTGCCACTGTCGATAACAACAATAATCCCTCTCATAAATTATTTTTATGGTAGTTATCAAGAAAACTTCATCACACCGGGCATTTAAAAATGTACAATAGTAAACTTGCATTGAATATAAGAGTAAAAGTCTGTTAATAGACATAAATTATTAAAGATGTGATTTTTGTATGATATCTTGTTGTTAGAAGAGGTAGAGGAAGACCAAAAATGAGATGGAGGGATGCTATTGAATGCGATTTGAAGACAGCTGATGTGAGCGTAGATGATGTGGGAGATCGTGTCAAGTGGAAGTTTAGGATAAGGGTGACCGACCCCAAGTAGTTGGGATTAAGGCGAGGAAGAAAAAATAAAAATCTTGTTGTTTCTGTGACAAATGACGAATACTGTATGCTAACAGCAAATTACCAATAGAAAATAGATAAAAAAATTGCTTAACTTAAAAAATCTATAGTAAAAAAATCTTACATTGAATAAAAAAAAATATGAGAAAAGAAATGTTTGAATTTTTTTTCAATCACATCATTGATACGATCACATATCATAGCGACGTAACATTATTAAATTAATAATAAAGGTTCCATTAAACAAAATTAAAATTTAGATTATAATCCCTTAAGTGTTAAAACCTAAACCTGAAGAGATATTTTCCTTTACAAATATTTAATATTTTCAATAGTGTACAAAAAAATTAATGTCTTATTATTAATGAGTAATCACTTTGTAATCACAACTTACTGTTTAACTAAATTCCTATAACAAGTAACGAGAACTTAACGAAACCGATATAAAGTCCTCAGAGAATTGAGTTTTTCTCGATTATATTTGATTTTGTCTATTAAAGAACTATACTTTTTGTTCAAGTTAATTTCGTAAGTTTCTTTCAATAAGTTTCTGTACCAAAATTAAAGACTAGGTCAGAGTCAATCCATACTTTAGTTTCCGAATTTATAAATTGTAGTTGTATAATTAAACTTTATACCTATACTATTTTAATTGAGCTCGCGAAAATAAATTTATTCAATTTCTTTATATCACTTGATTTTTAGATTAATAAACATATAATCTTACCTTTAGAATTATTAAATTAAAACAATTATCGGCATATTTGGCAATATTATTCTTTGATTGTCATAAAACAAAATAACTTTATATATATTTTTAAATATTGACGATTAATCATTTAAGTATAATTACAGTGATTTCCTTTAATAAAATTATTTTAAATCTAAAAACAACGTCAGATACACATAGAATAAGAATGCTTTAACGCGTTCATATTCTAAGATAAAACAAACGAGTTTCATCTTTTAGAATTATGAGCTCATTTTGACCGGTAAACTTTAACTATGAACAGTGTTATTGAAGATATTTGATCTTCTTTTACACTCTTTCTAATAAAAATACTTATAGATACTTATGAAGAAATATCTCAATTAAACTACTGTTTAAAATATAAATATTCTTTATAATTTCTTATCTCATTTATAGTTTAATTTTCTTAAGTAAAATATAATTTTAATGGAATGAAGTTTCTTATAAATAGTAAAATATTAAATCTATTAAGTTCATAAGAAAAAAATGTTCGATTTTTTTTGTAAAAAAAGCATTTTTAAGGATTTCCCAGAATGAATTTGTCTCAATCAATAAACTTTTTTAACGTGTATATATTTCCCTCATAAATAATAACTTGCATATATATTATAAATAATAATCCTGTGTTTTAATGGGTATCGCGAATAGATATTTCAAGATAACATATGATAAAATATTTCAAAAATCCAATAGTGTCATTTATAAATTTGCATTCAACATAAGAATTAATAAAGATTTAATCAGTGCATATATAAACAAAAATACTGTCTTATAAGTTATAAAGATTTATCACATAACATATACTTAATAAAGAAACTAAAATGGCACTTATTACTCATAATAACTGAAACAATATAATATTTGTTCATGAATTTTTTAACGACATTATTTTTGGACGTATTTATTAAGGTTTGTATGTACCAAAGAAATGTCCACATGAAGGACAAAAATGATCTACCCTTTGAAAACTGTCCATAAATAATGGAATACATGAGCAACAAAAACACCTGTAATATACATTTTATTAATTCTTTTCATGATTAATATTTATAATAATATTAAATATTCATGACAAAAAGTAGTAATAATTTAACTTACCCCACTATAAACAACAACCCGCAACAAATATATCCTGTAGCAGCAGTGTCCCTCTCAACTCGAGAATACACATCCGATCTACAATTAGGGCATACTATATGAAATGGATCTGGACCAACGGCAGGTTCTAATATTTCAAAATATAAATATTTTTTTATTAATAACAAATATGCAATATTATAGCAAGGAGCAAAATATACACAGGCCTCGAGCATATTTTTAGAAAGAAAAAAACAGTGGGGTCTCGGCACAGTGCAAGTGTGGTATAGTTGGATCAAGTATAATGATATCTGACAGTGATTAAAATTACTATCACAAAAAACGCTTCGATGCAAATCTGTAGCTAATGTTTAATTTTAAAACATTAATGGATTATTTCAAAAGCTATATGATCTCATATTTCCTTATTTATATCCTGATTACAAGTTTTATAATTTATAAGTGTAATATATGATATATAATATGTAAATATATAAAGGGAAATTTTTTTATTTAAAAAAAAAGTATGTCGAACGAAAGAAGGATATAAATATGATTTCTCATATAAAAATTGTATAGATCCATACACTTTTCAATAAGTTATAGCATTATAAAGTTAAAAAATTTAAATATAAAATCGAGAATTTTCACACAAAAATAGCATTCGGTAACTATTTTCACCGTGAAGACAAAATAAAGTCCAAATTTTTTTTTACATTTAGTACATTTCATAAGCTTTAATTTAAGGTATATATAAAAGTATCAGTATTTCCGGAACACTTTAAAAAGTTAAGTTTAAAAATTCGTCATTATTAATCCCCCCTTCTGGGCAAGTTGAGGTTCAAATTTATAAAGAAATACATCAAATGATAGGTAAAGACATTATGCATCTATAAAAAAAAACTATATTGATTTGTTAATTTTTGAAAAGTTATAGCATTTTTAAGTAAAAAAATTTGAAAAAATTTCGAAAATTAGCGATTTTTAAATTTGTAATTTTTTTGCAAATTTTCCCCATTTACGGGGAACGAGGATAATGTCTTTGGCTAAATTCGATTTGTGATCTTTTGACGTAACGTTGAAAGAAATCGGTTCTTTGAGAGCTGAAAAAAGTAGTAACAGACACAAAAAAAAACACATCATAGTAAAACATTAATGGATTATTTCAAAAGCTATATGATCTCATATTTCCTTATTTATATCCTGATTACAAGTTTTATGCTTTATTAGTATATGAATGTAAGTATGTCGAATGAAAGAAGAATATAAACTGTACTTATTTTAAAAAAATTATAATGATCCATACATCTTTCAAGAAGTTATAGTATTATAAAATTAAAAATATAAAAATTTTTTTTTTCAAAAATCGTATTTTTTTTATTAACCTTGATGTCTGTTTTCACCGTGAAGACAAAATAAAGTCTGAAACTTTTTTTTATTATTAAAATATATTACATAGGCTTTAATTTAGGATATATATAAAAGTGTCAGACTTTCCGGAACACTTTCAAAAGTTAAGTTGAATAAGTTCTACTTTCTACATGCATTTTTTAGATTTGAACCCCCCTCAAATATAGGGAAATGGTCCGATTTAAAAAAACAGTATGTTGAATGAAAGATGTATATAAATACTACTTCTCATGAAAAAATTGTATTAATCCATACATTTTTCAAATAGTTATAGCATAATAAAATTAAAAATGTAAAATACAAAATCGAAAATTTTCACACAAAAATAGCATTCGGTAGCCATTTTCACCGTGAAGATAAAATAAAGTCCGAAATTTTTTTTTCCCATAATAAAGTATATTACATTAGCTTTAATTTAAGATATATATAAAAGTGTCAGACTTTCCGGAACACTTTCAAAATTTAAGTTGAAAAAGTTCTACTTTTTACATGCATTTTTTAGATTTGAACCCCCCTCGTATTTAGGGAAATGGTCCGATTTAAAAAAACAGTATGTCAAATGAAAGATGTATATGAATACTACTCCTCATAAAAAAATTGTACTGATCCATACATTTTTCAAAAAGTTATAGCATAATAAAGTTAAAAATGTAAAATACAAAATCGAAAATTTTCACACAAAAATAGCATTCGGTAGCCATTTTCACCGTGAAGATAAAATAAAGTCCGAAATTTTCATGATAAAGTTTATTACATTAGCTTTAATTTAAGATATATATAAAAGTGTCAGACCTTCCGGAACATTGTCAAAAATCAAGTTGAAAAAATTAATTTTTTATAAAAAAGTTGTCATTTTAAATCCCCCCTGTGGGCAAGTAAAGGGTCACATATAAAAAAAATATATACCAAATGAAAGGTAATGATATCATGCATCTATATAAAAAAAAATATATTGATTTGGTTATTTTAAAAAAAGTTATTACAATTTTAAGTAAAAAAAATTGAAAAAATTTTGAAAATAAGCGATTTTTAAATTTGTAATTTTTTTGGAGGTTTCCCCCACTTACGGGGAATGAGGGAATTTTTTTCAATTTTTAAGGGTCATGTCTTCGACTAGATACGATTTGTGATCTTTTGACGTATCATTGAAAGAAATCGGTTCGGTTTTTCTTTGTTTCTTTTAGTATAATGTTTCTCTTAACTTATTAATCATAAAGTCTTTTTTATTTTCATTCCTTAAACCTTATAAGGATGTCATCTTCAATATCTTAAAATCAACACTCTTAATTAAATAAATATTTCAAATGATAACGATCTAATTAGGAAAAGGTCGATAACAAATTTAGACCAGTATTATGGAAGTTTTTAGTTATTTAAAGTAATGATTGAATGTGAAAAGTGAGTGATTTTTTTAAAAACTAATTATTTTTTTAGATCATTATCTATTAGTCAAGCTAGTTAATTAATATAGTGTTTATAATGTTGACATAGTGACATTGACATTGTCACATAGACATTGACATTATAAGACATAAGATATGAACATAAAAAAAACTTGATTGATTGAAAAATGATTGAAAAATTGAGAGAAACATTGAACAAAATGAATAAAATATTAATATTATTTTTGTCTTCGATTAATTAAGTGGAGCACTTGCCAATACTTGTTTCATAATTTTTTCAATATTTGAATTAGTAGCATTTACGTGATCTCCCCAATAACAATGAATTATTTTTAGAATATTCCTTGAATATTTATTTTTGATATTAAAATATTTCTAGAATATAACCAGAATATTTTGAAATATTCACACAATGTTCTCAGAATATACTTTGACAACAAATATTATAGTCTCACAATATTTTAAAGGTATAATTCTAAAATACTATAAAAAAAATATTTTGCAAGATGTTTTACGAATATATTAAAAAAATTAAAAAAAAGCAACCCCCGTCTTCAGGGGATTCGAATCTTGTTATTCAAGTACTAGAAACATACTCGTTATCTACTGACTGACAGATTAATACGTCTATAAAATGATAAAAAAGCCTATTTAGGGTAGTTCTAATTTTCAAAGTCATTTTTACCGTTTAAAAAAATCAAAGTAATTGCAACTTTATATTCAATTTAGATTAGATTCATATAATTTTTTTAAAAATCGGCGATCCCATCACCTTTACCTCTCTTTGTAAGTTAGAAATTGACCTACTTCGTTGATAATATAAAAATATATTTTAACTATAATAAAAAACTTTTTAGGATTTTAAGTTTCACAGGACAATTATAAGATATAATCGCGCTGATAAAACAAAAAAAAATTTAACTCGTTTTTATACTGTCCCTGACATAACTAGCTTAATTGAATTAGATTAACTAAAATTGATACTAATTAGAGAAAAGGGTTGTTTACTTATTAAGGATTTAGGAATATGTATAAATAATACATAAGTATTATACAACTAGATACCAATAACATCGAAGGTTGTAACTAAAGGGAAGCAAGGAGATAGCTTGTCTCTCTTAAGTTACCACAGTTAGTCTACAAGATATATACATATATATATAGATAATAATTTTAAAAAATTATATTGATAATACAGTGTGGCCCACCACTCACTGACAACTTAAATAACTTTTGATCCAGTTAATATTTTTAGCTGATTTTTTTTTTAAATAATAGTTATACGTTAGGTCTATAGCTATATCTCAATAATTAATTTTTTTACATTTTATTAAAAATATTAATTATTTTTAAATTTTAAATAAAATGTAAAAAAAAAATCTAAGATAGCTATTTTGTAGAGTAGAATTTAAGAAAAATTTTAGTAAAAAAATATCTTATTAATATTCAGTAGTAAATATTCTGTAGCGTTTTGAAGTTTGTGAAAATTTGAATTTTCATGTATTATTTTACGGTATTAAACATTGAAATACGTATTGAGAAAAGGACAGAAGAAAACGCTATCTTTTCA